TTTAAAGATCTCCTTTTGTTTGTTTACTTATCTCTGTTGTGTCTTTTTAATGTATTCTTTCCCTCTTGTTTTATCTTCCATATGTTTGTATTGATATGTTCCCTGTGTATGTACATATGAGTGGGTTTATGTATTTACACAATTATACATATGCATATATATATACACATATATCCAATTGCTGCAGATTAGCAAGTTCGTTAGCTAGTTTTGCTAACCAAAAGGGGTGGGGCTTATGAAGGTTCAATTACCTTTAATACAAGCGGTAACACACTCTAAATGTTTGTGCCCTTTGCACATTGTCTTAACTCATAAAATACATTTATGTTTTACCTGCTTCTTACACAGAGACATTTTTGTGCATAGAGATTTTATGCACTCTCTATGTAATGAGCATTCCTGGGGATCAAGCTGTATGAGCCAGCATTTTTTTAAACACCTTTTGTTCCACTCTGTAAATGGCTCATTTTCCAGCAGTGATTAAAATAATCCAGCAAATTTCCCGCTCACACAATGTGAGTGCAGGCTTTCCGGCTCCAGCCAGGCTGATAGTAACTGCTGAGTAGGGAGAGCCTGTCAGTTGCCGCTGAGCATCAATTATATAAAGCTCCCCTGACTGTACTCCCAGAACTTTCCATTGGGTTGTTTGTTAATCAGTCATTAATAGCAGAGGAGACTGGGGATTGTGCAGTCTGCAGTTTATAGTAATGAAGAACTTGAAAAGGTACAAAAACAGGAACTGACCTTGTCTCTTCCTGCTGGGTGTTTATGTGTGCAGGGGGTATGTGATTCTGCTTCCTCTGAGCCAACTCAGGTGATCAAAACTTTGTGTGTGTGTTGTAGTTGGAATGTACATGAGATGGGAGTTCCTATGTGTTGAAATTGTCTGTCACTTTCTTGACCGTTACTGGCTCCATTCACAACAGTAGACAGGATATTATCATCATACAGTGGTGACAGAGCAGAGGGTGATAATTGACTACACACTAGGCCTAGTGATGATATTAACATATATGAATACATGCACACATGCCCACTTTCGGAAAGTTGTAACAGTCAACGTAGACACACATACAGTACATGCAGACAGTGATAATGAGATGTATAATAGACTTTTCTCCTGACAAAAGGTTGAGCTGAACAGTATCAGATCAAATCACTCAGCACATGAACACAACAGTCTAATCTGTCAGGGCACGGACAGAACACAATGCAGAATACAGTGGGAAAGCCGTTGTTTTCAGGTGAAACAAACACTTGCATAATCCTATACAAATACTGCCAGTAGGGCTGGGTATCGGTACAATACCTTTAAGGTATCGACCAAAATAACCAGTACCAAATAGTATAAAAACTTGTCCAGTTAAACAGTTAAAGATGAAAAATTTATCATTTGTATAGTTTTGCTTGCAGCCAGTCACCATAAGCGTTCTTTGATCATGTATCAGGGTCAAATGTGAAACAAAACAGTCAGCCAATAACCTTCACTTTGTAATATGGTGCTTGATATTTTTTACTCATGTTTTCACTCATATTGATTTAAACAGTCTCCACCTATCTACACTGAATGGCAGCAATATTGAGAGAGTCTCAGAGTATAAATATCTGCTGTTGGTATTTGGCTTGATGAATTATTCACATGTAAACATCTTATCAAAAATCTCATAACCAAACTGCAGCAAAAACTAGTAGAAAAAGTACAGCAGAGGCAGTCTTTCTATCAGTCCTGGGTTATGGTGATTCAATCTAAAGACATGCTGCTGCTTCCACTCTCAAACCTCTAGTCTTCATCATCGTTCATCATTCAGACCTCATATTCATTACAGGAGAACCCTATGAGACTCACCATTGCAGTACTGACACACAGTCAGTAGGGCTTCATGTCCTGTGGGTTTATGCTGAACACGGAAAATCTGGCTTTAGACTGACACTCTCACTGCCCTGGACAACTTAAAATGATGCTCTCAAATCCCTTCACCTCAGTGTGCAGTTGTGAGTATTGTCTTTTTTTTAAAAATAACTTATTATATTATTTGTTTTAACTCTGTATATTTCTATGTTTCTCAACATAATTGTAAATGAGGAAAATCTCAATGATTACTGAGACTTAAATAAAGGTTTTGAATTGAATATTTTCATTTGTATCTCGGTTTTGATCTTTTTAATCTTATTTGGGATATAACTTTTGAAACAGGATTATTCAAATCCCTGTTAATTTGATAATCACAGTACCCAGGTTACTGATCATCTGTGTGCAGTCCCTATGTTCTGCACCAACAAAGAATGTTAAGAGACCTGAATGAGGTGTTTACATGCATCATTATCCTGGTTTCTACTAGAGTATTCCAGACACCATATCCAGGCTTCCCAAAACCAGGATAAGGGCATTGGATATAATGTTTATATACAGTAAACCAGGGGGTTGGCACCCCCACTAGGGTTTGCCAAAGCTTCATGGGGCGGTCGCAAGGCCTTCTTGATTTTAACGCATGCTATAAAACTTAAACATTATACACATTAGGCCTATATCTCAGCATCTGGTTCACTTCTGTGAAGAAAGGTAAATGTAAAATAACTAATCTAATAGAACAATGGCCACACGTCAGGGACAAGAAAACACTGAATTTGTCAGAAAAGAAGCCTAATAAGTCTGTATAATTGTTAAAACATATAAAAAAATATATAACACAGAGAGATAATTGTATAAAAAGTTCTTTAAAGGGAAAATAATCTGCACAGAATAAAACCAAATCACTTGTTTTACACAAACTTCCTGCAGTTACTGAGTTCACTGTTTGGGTTCATTATACAGTTTAGAATATAATGTCAAATATCCATAAAATAGTCAGAAACTTCAGTCGTCAGTTTACTAAATAAAAGAAAACGGGTCCCTTGAGGAAAAAGGTTAGGAACCACTGCAGTAAGCAACACATAGAGATACTCCAACAACCCATTAATAACAGTAACACTATTGATCACATAAACATGCTTACTAAAATCCCAAAATATCAACCTCAGGTTGTCTCTAGAGGAAGAGTCAGGGGATCACAAAAGAGTGGTTTGACACACCACTAGCATGGCTAAACAATTTTATTTTTTGTATACAACCACC